CTAAACCCTAGAAATAAATGGAAAAACCTTAAACCCTAAGTATGAAAATATATAAACCCTAGATAATGCCCCAATAATAAAACAATAAACCCTAACACCAATTCAAAGGGCACCGTAAAAAATTAGGGTTTAGGGTTTAGGGTTTAGGGTTTAGTACCTGTAATAATACGAATATTATCTGGTAAATATAAGGCACAATTAACAAAAGTTAAATGTCCTCTAAATTCTTTTAATGTCTTCCCTGCCTTCAAACCGTGAATCCTGAATACATAAACCCTAAACCCTAAACCCTAAACCCTAAACCCTAGATAACCCTAAACCCTAAATCCTCAACATTAAACCCTTAAACCTCAAACATTAAACCCTAAACCCTAAACCCTAAACTGTAAGCAAGCAATGACAAGCACCTCCCTGCCTCTCAAGCTCAGGGCAGTCTAGTCTTCCCTCTAAACCCTAAACCCTAAACCCTAAACCCTAAACCCTCCTAACCTGGCAGTTGTATCAAAGGAGCCCGTAAGTATATGTGTGCTATCTTTGCTAAATGTAATAGAGGCAATAGCTGCATATAAATAAATAAACCCTAAACCCTAAACCCTAAACCCTTAAACCCTTAAACCCTCCCTGGCAAGAGGAAACAGCTTCCCCGCACCCCTCTCACCAAATTAGGGTTTTTACTCCTCGTTAGGGTTTAGGGTTAAGCGTTTGTTGCTTATTTATTAGGGTTTATTAGGGTTTATTAGGGTTTATTAGGGTTTAGGGTTTAGATATACCTGCATCATGAGCTTTATCTATCTTTTTTATACATTGACCAGTAGCAACTAACCAAACCTTTAGTTGTCCAGTTTGGCTTCCTGCAAACCCTCACAAACCCTAAACCCTAAACCCTAAACCCTAAAATGTCACAAGACCCTTAGCTTGTAGCTGCTGCAAGAAAAAAAAAAGGGTTTAGGGTTTAGGGTTTAGGGTTTAGTACCTGTGGCAAGGGCTTCGCTGTCACGACTGAATGCAATCGCCACCACAGCTGTCTCGTGCATCATGAGATTGTTCTGCGCATACACACAAACCCTAAACCCTAAACCCTAAACCCTAAACCCTAAACCCTTATACCTACAGCACCATGACGTCTAAATTCTCCCTACGATTTCCTTCTCCCCCCCCTATAATCCCCACCCATCCACCCCTTCACCCCCACCAACCCTAAACCCTAAACCCTAAACCCTAAACCCTAAACCCTAAACCCTAAACCCTAAACCCTAAACCCTACCTCTCTTTGATATTTAAGATCTTTATTTAGACAACCAAGTTGCCAATTCCATACTTCAATAAATCCATCAATTGATCCACTAGCTAGATAACGACCATCAGGAGAGAATGCTGCACACTCTGGGTGACTCTTATTTGTGAACTGCAGCAAAAACCCTAAACCCTAAACCCTAAACCCTAAACCCTAAACCCTAAACCCTAGGAAAACCCTAAACCCTACAAAAAAAATAATAAACCATAGAAAAACAATAATAAACCCTAATAAACACTAATATACACGAATACATACTCATAAACACTCATACACATACACTATGGATTATTCTTGTATGTAAATTGTACGTAAACCCTAAACCCTAGAAAAACCCTAATAAACCCTAATAAACGTATTTTTGCGTCTCCTTCTCGTGATTAGGGTTTAGGGTTTAGGGTTTACATACTCTAATACTTTTAGCAACATCTTGTGGATATAATTCCTTTGTTTCTTTTGGTCTTTTTGTTGCATTAGAGTATAAATTAAATTCTGTTGTAGGAGGAAGTAAACCCTTTTGTTTTTGGTGGTTTAATGCCATCCCTATTATATTCAGGAGACGAGAAGGAGGGACTGAATCTAATTCTAGTGCTAAGGCTGTACACACACAGACACACACAAGGGTTTAGGGTTTAGGGTTTAGGGTTTAGGGTTTATAGAAGGGTTTATATAGAAGGCTTTTTATAATATTTAATAGACCAGGAGGAGGGAGTAGATTAGGGTTTAGGGTTTATATATATAGGGTTTATATATACCACAATATATATAGATAGGAATACACTATATAAGGTAGATATTAGGGTTTAGGGTTTAGTTTTAGGGTTTAAAGATACCCCTAAACCCTAAACCCTAAACCCTAAACCCTAAACCCTAAACTGTAGAAGAAAACTTACATTGTGCTAATGTTGCTCTTCTTTTTTCTTTAGATAAACCCTCATAAACCTCTGCTGAATCAAAATAGGGTTTAGATACTAAACCCTCAAGACGTCTAAACCTCTGAGGGTTTTGTTGTCTTAATTGTTGTAGTACTGCTGTCTCCCTTAATAATAAACGAGCTAAATCTGTCTCTCTTAGCTCCAGCATCTCATAAAATACCTACATAAATAAATAAATAAATAAATAAATAAATAAATAAATAAATAAATATAAATAAATAAATAAATAAATAAATGTAAGTAAATTAAAAAATTTTTTTTTTTTTTTTTT